TATTTAGACCTCTATAAATGCCCTTTGCCTCCTAGTTCTTTTCTCTATTTCCTTTTACTTTCCAATCTTCAACATTCTTAACCAATTTCATAATTCAAAAGCATCAGTTCTTCTTTGGTCCTCCCTATTCACTCTCCAGCTTTGGTGTGCTTATGAGATGACAGAAAAAAATGTGTTTTCATCAGGTGCACCTTAGTCCTCAAAGTGACATTTCTGGCAGGTAACCAGTCTCACACTTCCAATATTTGAATAATAATCCATTGGCTATTGGGGTTTAAATTCACTTTGGGAGGACTTCTTTTTCCATACCTTGGCATTTTCTAGAGGTGCCACCACCAAATTTACACATGGCACATGTTCAACACATGCTTCCTGAATGCACGCCATGCTAACCACACCCGTTCTGTTTTAAAAGACGATTGTGCTGTATTTCATAGGAATCTGGCCAGTAAGAATCTCTGGGTTCTTATTTAATTTGTAGCCTGGCTTGCTTTCATCACATACTGTATATACTCGAGTATCAGCCGACCCGAATATCAGCTGAGGCACCGCATTTTACCACAAAAACTGCATTTAAAATGTGCTGAAAAACTCGGCTTATACACGAGTATGTATGGTATATGTGTCTGGATTATATTTTTAAAATACGTTTTCCCCAAGTAATCAGTCCCTGGAGGTTGTAAATCATTCAGCACTCAGCTCCTACCCCCCCCAGGTCATCTCATAAGCACACAAAAGCTGGAAACTGTGTGGCTTGAACCCACGGAGAAGGAGTGTCTCAAAAGGAAGAGCAGGCAGGCTCTTCCTGAGAGAGATCTTAATGGAGTACAGTTCCACTCTGAGGCACATCGGTCCCCAGGAGTTGGTACTGACTTTGTAAAATAAATAAATACATTTGAAAAATCATGAAAGGTAACTTTGGAAAAGGCTGTGAGCTTTGCTCACTGGGGTATTTGAAAATACTACTCATGGGGATGATCTAGCCTATTTTTTTAAAAAAAGGAATAAAAATGATGGCATCTCTTTTAGGAGAATATTGCGTCTCTGAGGTGGGTTTCACTATGTGCTCATGATTTCCTGGTACACATTCCGAGATTTCCCGTTGCCTGGCCTCAACATGTCCTGGCTTCGGTCTGCAGCCCTGGGAAGCAGGATGCAAGGAAGGGTTTGACATAAGTTCTCCCATTTAACAAAACTCCAAAAGGTGTGGGATATGTGATTATTCCAGTAGTATTCATATGAATGCCTCGGTCTATTGACTAGGGCCCTCTCCCTTCCCCGCTGTCTTAATTTCGTCTTTCATCCATGGCATATGGAGAGTAATTTCTTAACAGCAATGGTGTACATGTTGACATGGCCACTCCTATCTCTGCTCTTTTGGACAGGAAAAGCCCGACAAGATAGTGCTGGAAGAAACGGCATTTGAAGAAATCGAGAGGGATTTTCATCAGGTTCTCAATGAACTTTCAGGAGATCGAAGTCTGGAGAAATTTAGGGTTGAATATGAGAAGCTGCATACTGTAATGAAAAGGTCTTATGAAAACGAGAGGCGGCTGATGGCCAAGTGCAGAGAGCTAAATGCCGAGATCGTGGTTAATTCTGCGAAGGTCGCCACTGCGCTGAAGCTCTCTCAGGATGACCAGACCACCATTGCCTCCTTGAAGAAGGTCAGCCATCATCTAGAAGTGAACCCCCAAGAGAGCTGACATGACTGCATCCTTTATTTAAAACATCACCCTCTCATTAGCCTGGCAGCTCCAGGCGGGGGGAGTCAATGGGTTACTAAGATAAAATTTGCATGATTTATATATTCACTAAGCCTAGGGACTAATGTTCATTTCCAAATGAAATCATTAGCCTGGGTGAATTTCATCTTGCAGAAAATAATGTAGACCCCTTCTGGTTTAGCTTTCTGGAAACAGATAAGTAAGCAAAAAAACCCCTGCAGATGAGTACATGCAATGTTATCCATCTCAAAGGTGCCTCGTTTGGTGTAAGATGAGTCATTCAATAGTGGTGGCAGTAGCTTGTTAAAGATCATCTCACCATTTCTACCTTTTCTTAAAGGTTTAGGAGAGATTAATTTGAGCATTCCCAGACAGTAATTTCATGAGGTGTCTTCCTTTGCTTCTCCCCGGCTCCTCCCAAGTCCTCATCCTGGGAGAATCAGCCTAGTGGGAGAGGGAGGAAGTATGGCTTCATTTTTCTCCGTCCTCAAGTGTGTTGCCTTCTTTTCAAAGTTAAGCTGACCTATGCTCCATGTCCGTATCAGGGTGACAGGAAGTTGAGAGGTTTTCATTTACAATGAAAATCTTCAGGAAGAGAGCGGACGTATAGCATCTTGACTTCATTCCCCTGAGATGATACGGGTTCAGATGTCAGTAGATAAAGACCATTACAAAAGGTGGCACCTCTGTTTTCTCCGCAACTGCTTTGCTTTCTTTTTAGTGCCAACTTGTGTAGTGACATTTTTTCCCTCTTCTCCTTGCTAACAAAATCAAATAAGAAGGCTTCCAATCACTTTATGATTTAAAAAAAATTTAATTTAAGATTTAAAAACTAGAAAAAGCAGTCATGAATTGATTAAAATCTACTTGGTGAAGTTGATTTGCACAAAGCCTCGTCTACTCCTCTTTGCATCTAAATACCCTTCACTTGTTTTGCCAGCACGGCGCACATGGCTGTCCCAAAGGAACATGCCCCACAAACTGGCATTTTGTTTCAGGCACTACATTCTGATCCCCACTTACCTGAGAGACATTCTGCTCATGTCCATAGAAAAACACGGATATATTACAGTAAATGAAATACTCTCATTGACTCATTTTACTTCCCGTGAGCCTGTAGAGGAATATCTTTACCTCAAGGTTATTGGTTTGTACCTATAGAGACCCATATTTCCCTTGACAACTTTTAGCAAGAAAGTTAAGTGAGGGTATAAAATTCAAGGCTGTTATACCACTTAGGGTGTTGGCTCACTTACTCAAACGGAGCTCGCTCAAGTGATTTACCCTTGCATATTTAGTTGAATATTCCACAGAGCATTTCATAATAGCAAGGATAATGGAGTGGGAGGAGTCACTGTCTCTATTCTTCGCTGTATGCATTTGATGAGAAGGCTAGGGCAGCTTGGGTTTCTGGCAATGGGAGTTGCCAGTGTCCTCATGCACAGTTGGGTACAGAGCAAACTGTGTCGTCCTGCATTGTTCCAAAGCTCACACTGCCATCTGGGAGCTCACTTGGAACCCGAGGGCAATATATATGTATGTATGTATAATTCGGCAATATATAATATTTTATATATATATATATATAATTTGGCATATATCAAAAACTTAAAATTTTAAGGCTAGGACATCTAACTATTTCTTATGTGCCCAAATTTATTATTTTTTTCTTATCAAATATCTGGACTAGGGAATCCTAGAAGCTTTCATTCCTAACTTTGCAAGCCTATAGTAACATCTTCTTTAGAAATAGTTGTCCTTGTTATACAGCCCTTACAATTTGCAAACTTTGTAGTTCCACTCACCTATAAAATAGCTTTTGTCACTTCGCCTCCTTAAATGTACGGTTCAGTGCCGACTAACTTACGTTGAACAAACAGTTCAGTAAGTTAGTAAATGTTTAATGTACCATTTCTAATTTTCTCTTATAAACAACCCTTGTAATGTAGTCATGATATTGCTCCCTTTACTCGGGTTATCTTGACTCGGAGCCCAGTTTGGTTCCCCTCACCGATGTCCCGTGGCCCCTGTAGGAAATTGAGAAGGCCTGGAAGATGGTGGACTCTGCCTATGATAAGGAGCAGAAGGCAAAGGAGACCATTCTTGCATTGAAAGAGGAAATCGTGAACTTGACTAAGCTGGTTGAGCAAGGATCTGGATTGTCAATGGATCAAGATAGCAAGTAGGTCATAGAGCCTTCTTCACGCACGTTGAAGCTTGCAGGTGGCTCTTTCTTCAGCAGAGAGCTGGGTTTTGCCAGTGTCTTCTTGAACGTTCTCTGCGGTGCAAGACTGTGCTTTAATGGGTTCCTGGTGATTGTTTTCTTTGTATTGCTGTTTTCTTTCACACATTCCCTTTCTCTACATCCAAGAACTTCTAATTTGTGTTTATATTCTAGTTCTAAGTTAAAACCAAAAACAACACAAAACCGTTACTATCATCTCAAAATGAGTCAAGATTTTAGGTTTTTTAAAAGCAAACTTTTGTAGACTGAAATGGACTGCCTTTCTACCCAGACTCCCAGGACCTCAACTACATTCCCCGTGGTGAAACGTTTCATCCTCCTCCCTACCCCTATAGGATCTAAACCAGAGCACAGAACTGTTCTTCGTCTCCGCCTTCCCTGTGCCTCTTACACTTTAGTGCTGTCTCAGTCTTTAAAATCTTACTTTGGGCTCTCCAAACACCCCATCCTCAGTGCTACTGCCTTGGTCTGTGCCTCCACTTCTCTGCTGGACTATATAGCAACCTCCCTGCCCATCTTTATTCCAACCCTTACATTGCTTTTGAAACACAGACCTGCATGCCCCGACCCACCCCCTCCCACCATAAGCACCTCCAATAACAACCCCTGCCCAAAGGATAGAACCCAAACCCTTGAGTTTGTCTTTCCGAGCCCTTCCTCCAGCTGTACCCATCAGCCTCCCTTTCAAGCCATACCACCCTTATCCAGACCTCCTTTTACTTTTGCAAATGCTACCTTCTGTATCTTGAACCTTCTACTACCTCCTCTACACAGTAAACTCTTATTCATCCATCAATACCTCTTTCACTTCACCACCACCTGCATTTCTGTACCAACCTTGCCTCTCCAACTCTGCTCACCACTAGATGACCAGGCAGAAAAAGTCACTGTGTTTTCTGTTTCTATGGGACCTAGTACTTACCTCTAGACTGGCACTGATCTCACACTGCATTAAAGTGGTGGGTTGGTGTGTCTCTTTACCCATTATGCTGTGAACTCCTGCAAGGAGGACACCTTTATTTCCCCACCAGGAGTCTAGCCTGGGCAAAGATATGCCAAGCTTTGAATGAAGATTCGAGTCAGGCATGAGCATTCACTTCCTCAGGGGCACTCTTAACCAAATGTGAATGCTCTCTAGGCTGTTTACCTTTTAAAAATACATTCATCAAACTTTGATCGACAGCACAGGGTTTTTTTTGAGCACAGGGTTTTTTTTGGGGGGCTGGAGAATGGGGTAAACAACAAAGAAGAGGTCGTAACATATAATGGTGGACTCAGTTTTCTTATTAAAGATGTCAGACACATTCAGAGCAATGAAGCAATACTTAAGAGCTTATATACAGACAGAATACCGACATTCAGGTATTAGGACATCTTTCAGGAATTGAACAGTACGGAGAGCGTAAGAAACCACCCAGTCCAGAATTGTGGCCTCAACAGTGCGCCCATGCATAGTTTTCTCTCACAGTCACCTCAGAATTTGAAGTTTGTTTTGGGGGAAGAAGAGTTTGAGTGAAACATGGGAGGTGACTTATTAGACATTTATTTACATCAAAGCTGCTAGTAAATAAACAGATCACTGTGTTCTGAACAGCTGTCTGATGCCTGGCAGCCGCAAGAGCCTGGCAGGCAAGTTCTCAGCCTTCTCAGCTCTAAACTGTCTACCTTGCCCTAGACCAGCAGTCCTCATCCTGTGGGTCATGAGGGGTCGCTCGATTCATAAGAGCAGCAAAATGATAGTGATGAAGTAGCAACGAACATAATGTTATGGTTGGGGGCGGGGGTCACCACCACATGAGGAACGGTATGAAAGGGTCGCGGCATGAGGAAGGTTGAGAACCACTGCTCTAGACTAATTCTGGTGCTCATGTCATTTTAATACCTTCCGGAAATCCAGCCACACCATGTCATGGTTGAAATACAAGGCAACTGGTTTACAGTGAAAATCGGTGAATATTACCACACACCTTCCAAAAAAAGTGGTGTCATAAATGATTTTCCAAATCTCGTTTTTGGACACATTTTATCTGGGTCACATCCTTTCGGGGGGGAAGGAGTCTCTCTGTGTGGATGAATGAAGGCTTGCAGCGCATCCTATTGCCTTATGCTTCGGCTTCCTTTTGGACTTTATAGCTGGGATCACAGCCCTCTAGTGGATATAGTGAACAAATAATTTCCTCAATTGACATCTCCGTAGGGCTAATTGTGAGTGTTGACAAGAGTCATATCGTGTCACAACAAGGACAAGGAATACATAGGGAAGGTGTAGGCAGTAAGGAATAAAAGAATTATTCCCACAATTCTTCCACCCTACATTTTACTCTTCTGAGGCAACCAGTTCCTATTTGGTGCTCGTTTTACTGGATTTCTAGAGAAATCCTAACACACACACACACACACACACATACACACACACGGGTGTTACATACATAGGAACACAGGGGTGTCATCTACATGGGGACTTCTTTTCAGGCAAGCTATCTTAAACCAGCTCCGCAGGTCACAGTGTAAAGCTTTCTCTCTAATGCCTGACTAGGGTGAACAGTTGACCGAAGTCGTTCCTACGAAAGTAAGCCCACAGGATGCTCAGAAGGACTCGTAGTAGATGGCCCACGTAGCCATGGTTCTCTTCTTTTCCAGCATCAGAGACTTACTGAAGTTCAAAGAAGAAGTCACGAAGGAGCGGGACCAGCTCTTGACAGAAGTGGTGAAGTTGCGAGAGACTTTAGCGCAGAACACCGAGCAGCACCAGGAGACGGAGCGAGCCAGAGACGAGGCGGAGCAGGCCGTCAGTCAGGTCAGCTGAGCTGTGCCCTTCCCCAGGCCGCCTCTCCTCTTGGCCCCTCTCAAATGGATCTCCTTGCGCCCCAGGAAAGCATGCATGGTTTTGCCCATTTGCTTGTCTTGCTCCCAGAAGCGCAGGCGCTCCCTGCCGGCAGTCTGTACCCTGGGATGGAAGCAGTCCCTTTGTCTTTCTCCCTTATAAAGAAGCCACGTGGCGGCGTCCATCAGAACACGTTGACTTAAAGCCAGGAGTCACAGAGATAGTTAGCAAGCCACAGTCTGCAGGAGGCAAACCCGAGACTTCCTGGAGCATGCACTGTAAGAGAGAGGCTTGTCCAAGAGCGGGAGCCCATCATAAAACGGTGGTGCTCTGTCCAGCACGATCGAGGACTCCGGTGAAACCCATCTCGTAGTTAGGAGAACAGGCCACCTTCTGTTTAGTCCCTGGTGGTGGAGAATTAGGTGGACACTCTGTTCACCCGCCCTAAGACTCTGGGATTCTCGGTTTCAGTGGCATTTTCACCATTAAGGTGAGTGTTCGGCGTCGAGCCCCGATAAACAACACTGACGACTCTGTTGCCTTTGGGACCTTTGAAGGGTGATGCACAAAGGTGTTTGTCCTACAGGCCAAATGCTGCTTCCCAGGGGCTGCCCTTAAGAGGAAAGGGCTGGGGATGGTGGGAGGGCGAGTGGGGGGCGGGAGGCTGGCTGAGCCCTGCCATCATGCGAGGCTGTCTCTCTCTCTCTCTTCTTCCCCGCGTGCCTGTAGTTCCAACAAGAAATCCAGCATCGCCAGAACGAAGCTTCTCGAGAGTCTCGGAAGAAGGAGAAGCTGGAAAAAGAACTCAAGCAGATTCAGGTGGACATGGACACCCGGCAGTCGGAGATCAAGGCCCTGCAGCAGTACGTGCAGAAAAGCAAGGAGGAGCTACAGAAACTGGAGCAGCAGCTGAAGGAGCAGAAGGTACGTTGGCTGCAGGCCTGACCATGCGGGAGAACAAGGCTCCGCGACCTTTGTTCACACCCTTTGAAAGCATTTGCAATTTTTCTCCGCAAACCATCTGACAACGCCTACTACCGATATTTGGTGACACACCTAACACGGGACTGGGGCCTTGGCTTTGTTTCCGTCCACCCAGAACTCACTGCCGTCAAGTTGATTACAACTCCTAGTGACCCCAGCAGACAGAGCAGCACTGCCTCCTGGGGTTTCCAAGGCTGTACACCTTTGAAGGAGCAGACAACCTCAACTTTCTCTCATGGAGGGGTTGGTGAATTGGAACTCCTGACCTTGTGTTAGCAGCCCAATGCCTAATTATGTCCTGGTGACATAGTTGGTTCATCAGGGCATTGTCTCACTTCATTGAGTATATTAATTTATTTTTTATCCTTTCATTGATGCATACTATGCACATCAAACACACAAACAAAATTATCCACTACCCTTGAGTTGGCATGTGTAGTGACCCTGTGAAACAGAGTGGCATTGCCTCCTAGGGTCTCCGAGGCTGTGAAAAAGCAGAGTTCCACATCTCTCTCCTAGGTAGCTGCTGGTGGGTTCAGGTGGCTGCCTTCTGGTTAGCAGCTGAGTGCTTTAACCCTGTACCACAAACTCTCAAAAACCAAACTCACTGCCTTCAAGGGGATTCCAACGTAGAACGGTGACCCTATAGGACCAGGGTATCCCTGGTGGTATAGTGGTTACGCCTTGGGCTGCTGCGATCTGCATGGTTGGCAGTTCAAAACCCACCAGCAGCTCCCAGGGAGAAAGCCTGGGCTTTCTACTCCGGTAAACAGTTCCAGTCTATGAAACCCACAGGGGCTTGCTAGGAGTCAGCACTGACTCATAGCAGTACGTTTTTTGTTTTGTTTTGTTTATAAGGCAGTGTAGAATTGCCTCGGTGGTGTTCCGAGACTGTAACTATTTACAGGAGTAGAAAGCTTCCTCTTTCTCCCCCAGAGTAGCTGGTGGTTTCAAATTGCCGACCTTGCGGTCAGCAGCCAAACATGTAAGCATTATGCCACTGGGGCCCCTAATATGAAGGCACGTACATATCCCCATATAAAGCTCGATGGATTCCAACTCTTGAGACACACCTTGGTGACCTACACCTAACTCAAGAAACAGAGCATTACGCCCACCCCAGAAACCCCACCGACTCTCGATCTGGAATTCTGAGCAGAGATTAGTGTCACTTGTCTTTAAACTTTACAAAGATGAAATCATCCATTGTGTAATTTTTGGCATCTAACCTTTTTCACCCAACATTATGGTTGGGAGATGAATTCCTACTGTGGCCATATGGTTAAAGACCCAAGCTGCCTAAATGCTAGCCCTGTAGCCACAGGTGACGTATTTACACATTTAAATTTAATTAAAATGTGAAATGAAATTTAAAATGTGTTCCTTTAGTTGCATTAGTCCATCTGAAGTGCTCCGCAGTCATCTGCAGGTGGAGGGTTCTGTTGGACTGAGCTCAGTGGTCTGTGGACCTTAAAACAGAGGTACCAGCATTAGCTGAAATGGGGGTAACTCCAGACCTATAGTAAAACTCCATTCTAAATTAGACCAAAATATTCGATTCTACAGTTCTAAAGAGACAACTCAGTTCCCTTGTAAAAGTTGAAACAACTTACAACATTAATAGAGCAAGAATACAGAATGCTAAGTTTGTTGTAGATGTCTGTTAAGAATGTCGTTTAAAAAGAATGCTTTGTTCAATCTTGCAGCGCCCCCCCCCCCCATCTCCCCAAAGAACAAAAAACAAAATCAAGCTCCCTGTCGGTCCATTGTGACCCTATAGGACAGTGTCGAATTGCCCCCATGAGTTTCAGAGACCATAGCTGTTTACTGGAGTCGAAAGCTTGGTCTTTCTCCCACGGAGTGTCTGGTAGTTTTGAACTGCTGGCCTTGCAGATTGCAGCCCAACACTTAACCCCTCCACCACCAGGGGTTTCTCATCTCATCCTCAGAGCCTAGGAAATAAGGTTAGATTTGGCAAGGTTATGATGGAGCTGTTGCTGTCTTCATAACTCTAACCAAGAGGAAGCAAACTCCAGTTAGCCAGGCCTGGGCTATGATTGCCTGACCCCCCTCTGCCCCCATTAGACGTGCCTCCCTGCCATCTTCCCTTCATTCCCTGGTCTTCGCTTTGAAAATCCCAAAGACTTAAGCTTGTTACCTTATGATGAGGGGACTGGCAGCTGCCGTGGTGACAGAAGACTGACTTAATTATTCTTGATAGAAGGTCTTGTTAAAACCTCAGGGTGTCACAAAAACTTCAGAATGCAATAAATGTCAGGGTGTAGCTGACGAGAAAGAGTTGAAGATGGCATTGTAAAAGTTGGAGCTGGGTTGAGCAAACCCTTGTCACGTTTTGCCCTGTTTTGCCCTGCTCCGCTCCCTTTCCTCCGAAGGCTGCTCGCTCCGGGGACATGCTCTGTCCTCCCTCCCGGTGCCGTGTCTCCTCACTTCCTGGAAAGCATGGTTTTCATAGCCCTCAGTAACACTCCTCGCTTTTGTTTCTGGCGGAATGTTCAGCCTGGTGTTTCCCTCACCCGGGAAGCTCTCATGGCTGCCTGTGACTGATTCTCAATGTAGGAATATGACTTCCTTATTGTAGGCTCCGTTTTACCTTTCATGTTCAGAAACCGTCGTCCTCTGTTCCCCCAGTGGGAATGCCCCACCTCAATTCGATCCCCTTTTATACAACCGGGCCTGCTCAGGCTAGGCCAGGCTGGGGGGAAGAAGTCAGGCCGGGACACCAGTCACTCGGCTGGGGCACCATGGTTTCGGCTTTAGCTGGCTTAATGGGCAATTGGCGATGTGTTGGTGTTAGTGAATGGGGCTGTTCAGGGTGATGATGTTGTAGGCATGTTAATGCAAGACTTTCTCCTAAAGACAGAGCGACAGCTGATGAAACCCATTGGAATCTCCAGCTCCTTTGCAATGATTATAGCGATTGTTTCGGATGTGAAGCCTGCCAAATGGCAAACAGGCATTAAAATATTTATCCACCACCTGTGAACAAGACTTCCCAAGGCTCTCAGGGAAAAAAAGGGGGGGAAATTATTCTCACTGTGTTATTCATTAGAAGGCGTCATTTCCTCAGCCATGTAGCTTTCATGGTATTGGGGTGCGTCAGTGCCTTCATCCAGGATAAGGAGTGATTTCTCTAAAGACAAAATCGGCGGGTACTGGTCTTTTCCCAGGAGGTGTGTGGGGCCACCTGTGTGTCTATGCGGAGGCTGTAAGCGGATTCGAAAGAAAAGAAAACCCAACCACCCCATTCACACGCTCGTCCCGCATCTTTCAGATCCTGAACGAGAGAGCCGCGAAGGAGCTGGAGCAGTTTCAGATGAGAAACACGAAACTGCAGCAGGAGAATGAACAGCACAGCACGCTTTGCGAGCAGCTTTCGCAGGAAAACCAGCAGAAGGCGCTGGAGCTCAAAGTAAGCACAGGTTGGCACGCCCGGTCCCTGGCACGCCCCGCCTTAAGGCCTAGTCAGGCAGGTGTGCCCGTGCAGGGCGAGCCCTTGGCTGGGTAGCCCTGGGCAGCTGGACGAGGTGCCTTGACGCACCTGACGTAGGCGCAAGTCCGTAGCGATTGCTTTACGGTCACAAGCAGACCGTTGAATAACTTCCATTCTTCATTGTAGAATTGCAAACCCGATGATTGATCCTATGGCGAGGCAACTGCTTCCCAAAGCGAGCTAACACGTTCCCTCGCTGATTTAGCCTGGCAGAGCTACGCACTACTGCCTAAGTGAGCAGAGAAGAAGTCAGATTGTGCTGTGCTGCCTGTGTGGAGAAGGTGGATGGGAAGGGCGGTGATAGGCTGGTACAATGGAGTCTCACTTCCGGGGGTGGGGGGGTAGAACCCCGCATCTCACCTCTGTCCAGTGTCAATCACAAGCTAGGGTCCTTCTCTTCTGCCTGCTCTCTTGAAGAGTGCTTGCACAGGAAGTTTGGGTAACAGTTTTATTCAACAATACAACTTGTTTGCTTAGAGACTTGATCAGAGCAGTGTCACGCTTATTCCTTTAATTGTGAAAAATCCATTTTCCATACTCTGCATGTTAGAATATGAGGCTAAAGCAGGCCACCTGACAAGCATCATACATAGATTAGATCAATGACTCATACTCTTTTTTTGGTTATCACAAGTACCTTTAAGAATATGATGAACATGTGTGTGTGTGCATGCATGCATGCACACGCTCACATTTGCACAGCTCACATCTTGTTTTGCATACATCCTTGGTTTTCTGGGAGTTTTCTGCAGTCTAAGGCCTGTAAATTCACAACTACTCAATTAAAATTAGTCAGACTCAAAAGGGACTATAAAGCCAACTAATTTGGACCTTATAGAATCTGAGGCTGAAAAACATTTAAAGCAGGACAGAATGATTTGACTTGTGTGTGCGTGTGCACATACTGCAAGTTGAAACAGCGATGACAGGGCTACTCAGCGCAAAACAATAGATCAGTGCCTAATGTCCAATTAAAGTTTAAAAACCACTCTGCCATCAGTTCTCTCCTTAGATTACATGAATGGGGCATCGTGAGAGATAGAGCTTTCTGTTATCAAATTCCAAACCTATGGAATTCTGCTTTTAGCCGTAATCCAGGGATAACAGACACAGCTGACTGTAGCCTCTTCATTGTCCAAAGCTGGGATGATTGCTAACATTTGCAGAAGATGCCCCAGCTGCCTTTCCGGTTATTTCTATGAGGGGCAAACTTAAAAAAAAAAAAAGAAGTGATTTACATTTTAAAAAATCCATAAACATTGAAGTCCATAGATTAGAATCTTGTACTTTGTTTTCTACAATTATTTTTTAGCACAGTTTCGCCACCATGCATAACTGTGCATTAATATTGCTTTGTCCCTGGGCCAGATTCACACCCATGGGGGACCATTCTCTGGGGGAAGAGAACCCCTTCTCAAGTGTAGGAAATTGTGCTGTGTGGCCGCAAGATTGGGTCCAAAAGACTAGCTGGGCATTTTGTAGTGCTTTCATAGCCTTCTGAGAAATATTACTTTGTGAGTCCATGAAAATTGCTAGTCAAATAACATATTTGTGCAGAAAATGTACATATTTATGACACACATCTTAGCATTCTGACCTTGTTTGAGTCAGCAATTAGATTGCATCTTAAGCTAACAGATTAATCCAATTTTTTTTCATTATTAGCCATGGATTGTATTCAGGGTATTGAATTTTCCAGTCTCTTCCTAAATCAAATAGTGTATGTTTTGCTCTAACCCCGTCAGACAACTTTACACAGATCAAGAAAGAATCTTCTTATATTGATTCTTCACTTACCATTGTCCAGTCACCCGTCCCTTAATTTAAGGAGCATTTCTGATCATTCTCTCTTATCTGCAGGCCAGAGAGGAAGAAATTCATCAGATGCGTATTGATATTGGGAAGCTCAACAAAGTAAGAGAACAAATTCATAAGAAATTGCACCAGACTGAAGAACAAAAGGCTGACGTGGAACAGCACAAGGAAACCCTCAAAAACCAGATTTTAGGATTAGAGAGAGGTAGACCAAGAACCATTTTTGTGCTCTGTCTTATTCATTTATAAACATTTCATTAGTGACTAATGTCATCTGGCAACCCAGGATTCCATGCGTGCAAACACCCAGCATGCCAAATGAAGTCAGCAAAACAAACAGCATTCAAGCTGGTAAACAGCCAGTATAAAGGGACATCATTTTGAATATCTGGTTGACATTAAAACAAACAAACAAGCAAACTCTTCAGTAGAGAGACTGGCACTGTGTAAATCTAGCTTAATACTTTCAGCAGTTGTCAGTGCACTCATACTATCTGTACATCTGTTGCTCACTTAGTCTGGTATGCAGCATTTTGCATTGATGGAAACAGTAAATGATGGGACCCTCACTGGATCCATCTGGTAGTAATGAATGCTGAGGTTGGAGGCAAGAGGGATGCTTGTTGTGGTGGTTAAGGTTGTGTGTCAACTTGGCTCGGTCATGTTTCTCAGTGGTTTGGCAGTATTCTAGAGATGCAATCCCACAATTATCCCCTGATATAATTTCGCAGGTAATAATGTAGTCATCCTCTGCTTTCACATATGCTGATTTTTTCCACAACAATCCTGTCCTCAGAACCCAATCATGGTGACACATTAGGGGGGTCTATATAACCTCTCCCTTTACTCTAGATTTGCCACAGAAAAGGAGGGAGTTGGCCCCCATTAGCAATAGTTGGCAAAACGACCTACTAAGCTCGGCAGCATAAAAAAAAAAAAAGGCCTCCAATTTCATTTCTCCAGTTAGGACTTTACCATGTGATGAAACCCCTATTTCATCCAGCTGAAATGAGACCTGTGGGAGAAAGTTTAAATGTCATAGGGGGCAGGGTCAGTAACACTACAAACTGTAGAGTCAGATCTGCCTGCGATCAGATCCCACCTCCGTATAGATGGCTGTTGGCGGTGATAAATGACATAGGATACAAAGAGCACAGGGAACAGGGCCCGCACAGTATATGTCTACCAAATGTCATATTCCTATCTTCTGACTAAACGTGTACTGTAGAATATCATGTACTGGTCCCTTTTGGTGTGGCAGAAGTAGTTCTGGGCTTAGAGGCAAAGAATCTGGCTATGAATCTTGACTCCCTCAGCATCCGTGAGGCAGGAACAACGGTGCCTTCCTGACCTCATCCTGTCCGCATTGAGTGTGTCAGCCTCTGAAGGATGTAACGTGCCCCAAAGCACATACCCATGTGTTCACCTCAGTAGACATTAGGCGAAATCTAAGCCTTTGAGAAGTGAAGGGCAGTTTCCCTTTGCAGTTGCTGCTTCTGGGGACAGTTTCTCCAGGCAGCCATGCACTCATTGAGCACACTGGGTGCACACCTCCCGTAAGCACTCTGCCACATGCTGGGCGTCTGGAAAGCTCTGCTCTCGGGGTGCTTACCATCTAGTGTGAGTTTACAATCTAATGTTTCCTTTGGGAGAGATGAAGACAAGTAGATAGAGTTGAGCACATTTCTAATCGCTATGAAAACCTGTCCATATTTTAATTTCTGTGATTTCCCTTGCAATTTGAAAGTCTTTTGAAAATTATCTATTCAACATTGAATTCATTTCTTCATCCCTAAATCATGTTACCAAAATAATCATGTGCTCTCTTCCCGGGTTTTACTGACACCACCGATATTGTTATTTCTTTGTAGGGACTGTTCCCTGTTGCTGTATCTAAAAAAAAGAAAGAAAAGACATTTGGCCTACTGGCTTGGAGCATGGGGCCTTCATGTGATAGGATTTGCTATCATAAACTCAGAATGAACTTGAAACACATAGATGTTACAGGAGAGTTCAGTAGATTGGCAGCTTTTAAAAGAAATAAGTAGATATAAATAGCTTTCTTTAGAACCAGTTAGAAGATGGGGAAACCCCTTTTATAATAGTGAACAAAGTAATAGAATATCTATGAAGAAAATCACTAAGATAGCTATAGATTTTTAAAAGATTTTTTTAAAGCTATGTTTTTAAAACACAAAGGGTTAAAGAGGAAGACTTGAAAAATAGAGTTACCAAGATGCTAGATGAGAGAACTCAATATGATAAAGATATGAAATCTAGCTAAATTGATCTAGGCATTTAGTATTTGCAGTAGAACTTTCCAGTGAGTTTGGTTGCTTGGGACTTGAGATGGGATTCTAGAGTTTCCCCAGGACAGACATGCCATCCTAACCATCAAAATCTGGAAGAGGAAGCATGGTGAAGCAGCATCTGCCTCACTTGGCAGTATTATCATTAAATCTTCAGTAGTCAAATCGTTTTGCAGTGGTGCCCAAATGACTCATCAACAGAAAGCACGGACAACCTTTTGCTAAAGAAGATTAGCCACTGAAGATAAAGGTGTTTCACAACAATGAGAAGTAGGGGTTACTGAAACATGTATCTCAAGACGGCAAGCTGCTTTTTGGGGGAGAGGGTAGAAAGTTAGGGCTTGACGTCACTCCTTTCACCGGACTATAATTTCAATACAGGAGTGAATTTTTTTTAAAAATCACACAATACTAGGATACAATCTAAAGTTACAACCAAAGGTATAAACCACAAACAAGTCAAAAAGAAGTCAATAAATGAACATTAAAACACTCCACGCTACAGACCACTCTAGCGAGGAAAGCAAGTTTCACTGTAAAGGGCGTTTACCAATCTGCAGAAAGGTCCACAGTCTGTGAGGAAAGTGGGCACAGGGCAGCACGGGCAACTTTAAAAAAACAGAACGACAAATGAGCGTGAAATAGGTACCAGGGGTTAGCTTCAGTAATAATCCAGGAAATGCAAATTAAATCCTTAAAGAAATCGATCACTAGCCACGATCAAAAAGAATGATGGTCCTCAAAGGTGGTGTGGGTGGATAGACATTGTTAAGGTTTGGGAGAGACATTGGCCATCGGTGCGATACCTTAAAACAGCGGTTCTCAACCTGTGGGTCATGACCCCTTTGGGGGTCGAACGACCCTTTCACTGGAGTCGCCCAATTCATAACAGTAGCAAAATGACAGTGATGAAGTGCAACAAAAGTAATGTTATGGTTTGTGGGGGGGTCACCACAACATGAGGAACTGTATGAAAGGGTCGAGGCATTAGGAAGGTTGAGAACCACTGCCTTAAAACAACATCCTCTTTGATCCTGGAAGAAAAGCTGGTGGCATAGTGGTTATGGGTTGGGCTGGTTAACCACAAGGTCAGTAGTTCAAATCCACCAGCTGCTCCTTGGGAGAAAGCCAGGGCTCTCTATGCTCTTTGAGAGTGACAGTCTTGGAAATGCACAGGGCAGTTCTCCCCTGTCCTATAGAGTCACTGGGAATGGGAAGCAACTCCAGGGCAGCGGGGTTTTGATCCAGGGGGACTTCCTCTCCTGGAAGTTGCTGATCGGTGCCAGTGAGTCGGGTCAACAGTGTGAGCCACTGCCTGGTCTTGTGCCAGGTCTTCTTGGCTCTTCTAGAAGAGCAAATGAATTTGAACCTTCATAGGAGTATTGCTTATGATAGCAAAAAAATTTTGAAGCAACTTCAATATTAAAATTGGGCTACAGAAAATATTTATTTCCGTACAGTGAAATACCAAGAAGCCATTTATAGGATACAAAAGCTCTCATTCTATATTTGTTAGTGAAAAAAGCATGCTGCAATATGGTGTGCTTTTGCTATACACATTCACACATTGGCATAAGAAAAATCGGAAAACAGATCAATCAAAATACAAAGTGAATTTAGGTTGATTTAATTTTTCCCCCTCTTGCTTTTCAGTATTTCTAATTTCTGGATACCCATCTACTTACATAATAAAAAAGGATTAAAAAGAGCAAGGAATTGTGGAGCAAGAGCCACTGAGCTGGTTTGGGACTTGGGACATGTCTGGCTTGGGACTTGGGACATGTGGCTTAATCTTGCTATCCCTCAATTTCGATCAAAAGGCCTCGTGGGTTCCTTGTTGGGCTGCTAACTGACCAGGACAGCAATTCAACTCCAACAACAACTCTGAAGGAGAAAAGATGAGGCTGTCTACTCCCATCAGGTGTACAGCCTCAGAAACCCAAAGGACCAGTTCTGCTCCGTCCGTAGGGTTGCTATGAGTGGGAATCCACTCAGTGAGCCCTGACTTGGCGTTTTGGCTATTAGGATAGTCAGAGCCAGTTCACCATAACAGTACATAGTAGTATTAGGTGCTAAGGGTTAATTTGCTTGAAGGCTAACTGGAAGGTTGACAAGAGTCCGGCCCAGAGGTACCTCCGAATAAAGACTGGTGATCTTTAGAAAGATCAGCCATTGGAAACCCCCACGAAGCTCACTTTTACGTTGACACACACAGGGCGGCCTGAGCCAGGGTTGATTGGCAGCAACTGGCTTTGCAGAGGCCATACAAACTTACAGCAATGCTTGCATCCCTCTGGGCTTGGCAGGCTCAGACTTACTGTTGTCTTCTCTGGTGATTTAGAGGTGGAGGCTGCAAAGAAACAAGCGGAACTTGATAAGAAAGCGATGGATGAGCTTCTGAGAGAAAGGGATATATTAAGTAAGGTGAGTTTGTTACAGTAACCCTGGTAACGGAATGGCTTTCTCTAGCAGCTGCAATACCTGTCTGTAACCAGGTGTATGCAGAAAGAAAACTGGGAGGCAAACACGGGTAAATTAGAATAAATAATAGTGCGCAATTTCCCTTTAAGTAGTTCCCTCCAGTCTGCCATTGACTGGCAGGTCATTGAAACGGCATTCTCACTCGTGAACACAAAGAAAATTAGTATATAAACCAGCAGGAGTGTTTTGTGGATTCTGCTTTTATTGCTGGTGTGCTATTTGGTGTCCTAAACAGTTGATCAAATTTCTTGAATTTAAGGTCTACAATCTACAACTTTGGCTAATCCAGAAACTATAAGTGAGTGCTAATAACAATTTCACTGTGAGGTGTTAAGTGTAAGACTGGCCTGTTGGCAATATCAACAGTCCCTACCATTTCTTCCTGCTACTCACTGTGGGTAAGGGGTTTGCTCTTTGTTGCTGGTCCCTGTGCCTTGAGCTCACTGGGGCCCAAAGCTGTGAGAGACGGGTGGGGAGCCTGAAGGTAAAAGCTTGGAGGTCCCTCTACTCATGATAGGGCTTCCAGTCACTTCCAGAGGAATTCTGTCAACTGATAGTGCCTTTCAGGAGATAACTGCTTTGGAGGATTTGGGCTAAAGTTTCTTGCTCAAAGATTTCCTCCTGAGAGGAAGGAGAGCCCAGGCAGCTTCAGCTGGGTGTGGGGCTCCCTCTGCACCAGTCTGTTGTCGTTGTGGTCAAGACAACTGTCATCTCACCCGATGGGAATCTCCTGAGTTCGTTCATGGTTTCTTTAGGTTTCCCAAATTGAACAAAGAGTGAATGAAATAGACTACTTTTGAGCTTCTCACGCCCCCCCTCCCGCCGCCCCCTGGGGTAATTCTCTCTAGGGCAGTGGAGAACTGCCCCTCTGGGTTTCTGAGGTGCTACATCTTTACAGGAGTAGAAAAACCTCATCTTTCTCCCTGGGAGCTGCTGGTGGTTTTGAACTGCTCATCTTAGAGTTAGCAGCCCAACTTGTACTGTATATACTCATGTATAAGCCGAGTTTTTTAGCACATTTTTTTTATGCTGAAAAGCCCCCCCTCGGCTTATGCTCAAGTGAGGGTCCCACTTACCTATTCTCTGGCCTCTCCTGCTCATCTGTGGGCACCCGCCACCTCTGTGGGTGGTCAGATGACTGCTGATATCACACTCTTCTTTTGTCCTGTACACCGGCAGCCTCTGTGTTGTCTAGGCCGTACTGAGCAAGAACCTGCTCGCTTCTGTGTGCTGGTACCTGGGCGCAGCGCATCCTTGTCAGATAATGTCGGATGCGGCTACTCTTCTTCACCAGCTCTTCTCCAGGGCTGTGACCAAAGACGTAGCCTTTACAGTCTTACCCATGCTTGCTCACGCCCCCTTCCTCTGCCCAAGCCTTGCTGAATACAAGTACCAGTATATCTCTGGTCTTGGATATACAGTACGTTTATTTACAGTACTTAGTCTGCTATATTTTATTTTTTGTTTTCTTATTAACCCCTATGTGGACCCAGTGTTGACTATGCTTGCATAGCAGCCTGTGTTGGCGCTCATAATATACATGCTGCATTGCGTATCCACTGTGGTACTGCATGTGTTGTGTTAGCACTTCCCATACATATGCAGTAACGCTGCGTATGCAGTAATGCAGCTCATGTAGTAACAGTGCATACACAACACAGCGTGTATATTATAAGCCCTCTAACATAGCCTGCTCTATGAAAACAGTCATGTCATCACATGCTGGAATATCATTAGCCTGCGTTAGGCCTCAAACTGTACTAGCTGCGTTGTGTATATGCGGTAAGGCTGTGTATGTAGTAATGCAGTGCATGCAGTAACACAGCATGTATAGCTATTGTTGTTACCGTCTTGTTTTTGTTGACCTTTTCCACTTACAGAGCTAGTTGACTGTTTTTCTTTGAAATACATATTCAAAAACATTTAACCTACTGATGCCTCAATTAATATAATTTTATTGGTAACTATTTTTATTTTGAAATTTACCAGTAGCTGCTGCATTTCCTACCTTAGGCTTAAACTCGAGTCAGTAAATTTTCCCAGTTTTTGTGGTAAAATTAGGGGCCTCAGCTTATATTCGGGTCAGCTACTATTTGAGTATATATGGTAGCCCAGTGTGACACCAGGGCTCCCTTTAGCGTAGGGGATCTCAGGAAATGGTAGGGGATTAGCTATGTTTATATGCCAAACATGCTTTAAGAAAGTTGTTGCTGGTGTGTGTGTGTGTGTGTGTGTGTGTGTGTGTGTGTGTGTGAGAGAGAGAGAGAGAGAGAGAGAGAGAGTCAGAGTCAGTCCCCTGGTGTCTAGCAGGTTACTTGTTGGGCTACTAACTAACTGCAAGTTCAGCAGTTCGAAACCACCAGCTGCTCCCAGGGAGAATGGTGAAGCTTTCAATTCCTGTAAAGAGTCACAGCCTTGGAAATTCATAGGGGGCATTTCTACCGTGTCCTATAGGTTGCTATGAGTCTGAACCAACTTGGGGGCAGTGAGTTTGGCTTTGGTTTGGTGGATGTGGCTTTGGTAGGTGGGACATAATCCTAGAAACAGTTTCTTTATTTTGTAACTTGTCCATGTGAACAATATTATTGGGTATAGATCTTAAAATTCATTTTAAACAGATCTGACATTGAACCAGTTTATATATTTTTTACATACTGGCAATCCATCAGAATGTTTACTCCTAGCATAGGACACATAGCCTGCAGTAAGTTGACCTTTGCTTGTTTGATTCGATTCATGCCAGTAAGGCAGGAAGTGTTGTCCTTAGTCCTGTCACAGCCCTTTGGATCCATAGTGTTCCTCTTTGTGCCCAATCCTCTGCAGAGATGCAATAGATATCTACTGAATAACACCCTCTTCCCACACTGATTCGAGGTGATTGTGTACCGTGGTTTGACAGCTAGCAAAGTTAATCTACTTTGACTCTTTCCATGTCATGTTGAAGTGCCTTTGCCTTGCCAAACGACTGTGGAATACAGTCCTTGAAAATAAAGTTGACCTGTTCTGTTTGCCATGCCATTGCCCCACCAATGTTCAATTCCCCTTTTACCTTTCTTTAGTTCAGTAGCTCTCAGCCCTGGCTGGGGGTCTGTATTGGTTAGTGATTTGGGAAGAGAATAGGAGGTGTCTGGTCTTGGACGATACAGCCAGATCTCAGGAACTGGTGGGCACTTGGCTTGGCTTTCTTGAGGTGCATAGAAAGGCCTTTCTGTCCACCACAAGGCTTCCTGGTGAGTTTCTGCTTAATTTTTCCCTTTCAGTGAAGGCTGGCCTTTCTGTTTCTCAGTCCAGATAAATGGCTGCCCCTAACCACTCCCAAGTCTACAACTTCTACTGAGTTGCAAATGTCTGAAGGTGCTGCTTCAGAACTACCAGGGAAGGGCAGTTTTTTGGTCCATCCAGTGAGGACTAGAAAGCCGGCCACTCTTGCATGAGCCGGCCGCTAGCACAGCACTGCTGGTGACTCCGGGTTTCCAGAGATCTTGGACAGCATCCCCAAGGCATTTCCATTTCAGCATCAGAAATCAGCACAGTGCAGCTTTCAAGAAAAATACAGGCTCTTGGGTTCCCACCCAGATCTGCTCAACCTTCCATCTCTGGAGTTGGGACCTAGGAATCGCATTTACGTTCTAGTAAGACACCATGATCAGTTAGTTCGGTAGTTAGAGCCTCTCTCTCTGTGACACACACAAAAGGTTAGAGCTAGGAGGTTGTTAAAGGCTTGCAATTTGGTGTCACTCTGCCTTGGTTTCCAATCTTGATTCTGCCACTTCTCAGTAGGATGGTTGTGTTAGGCCAGCTTGACTAGATAAACAATTCTAGTGACACTCATATATGTACAAGACAGAGTTTTATATCAAGAAGTAATTATATATCAAGCAAACATCCCAGCCCAGTCAGATCAAGTCCATAAGTCAGATACTAGTCCTTAAGTTCCTCTTCAGACTCATACAGCCACATGCAATGATGCAGAATTTAGGAAGATCAGGGGCTGGTGGGTGCAGTCATGTGTATCCAATGGCTGTGGCCACATCACAGGGCTCACAGCAACCAGGATCTGCCAGCAGGAAGGTGAAGGCAGAGAGAGAAGTGGGGTGGGGTGGGGAGAGTGTTTTCCCGGCCCACCTTATGAGCAGGCCCCACCCACAAGGAGTCACCATCAGATAATGACCTGATTGAAAGGCTAAACTCCACCCTTATACTTTAATGTATCTTTAAGTTGACATGAAATTATGTAACTACCACAATGACCTTAAACATTTTAAACATTTAGCCTCATCCCTTGCAATCTTATTTTCCTTCCCGGAAGTGGGAAGGCGGAATGCCTCCTCTTAGGGATGCTGTGGTCACACAGTACATTTATATGTGCATTTAGAGTGCCTTGTAGAAAATTAAACATAAGCAGCTCTCAGTAAGCTGGAGAGAATATAATTATTTGTATTCAATCAAAAGACAATGTATCTAATTATTCTAGGGATGAGACAGGGCCTAAAACATTTTTTTTTTCTAAAATAAATCCCCAACACGATGAGTAAATGTGGCTCCTTTGCTGTCTGTAATTTCAGAACCTGCTTAAGGCGGTCGGTGCGACCCAGAAACAGACAGACCTAGTGAAGCTTCACGAACAAGCCAAGAGGAACCTGGAGGAAGAAATCCACAATTACAAGGAAGAGGCTCAGAAACAGAGAAAGATCATCTTTCAGCTGGAGAAAGAGCGAGACAGGTACATCAATGAAGCCAGTGAACTTACCCAAAAGGTACGGCCCTCTTCCATGTTGTGTGTGTGCATGCGCGGGGGTCGGGAGACGGTGGGGTGTGATGGGATGGTGGGGGAGGGGGCTAGGCGTATCTTGCTGCATTTCTGATCATCACAAACTGTTGCAAAGACGGGCTCTTGAGATTACAGCATGTGGTTTGCACCGGCTTAAGAAGAATGATGTGGACGTAACCTGGGTTTGTCCTAGAGCTGGTTGTGGGCCGGACTGTGAAATGGACAAGCCTTGCCTTGACTTTCTCTTGTTTCATTTTATCTCCTTGCCTCTTCTAATTTCTCTGTGCTCCAGAACCTGCCCCTCCTTGCTGCTGCCCTGCAGCATCCCTTGGGGTGGTGCTCGCTGGGGGGGGCGACATTGCCACCTCATGGCTGGCTCCTTCTCACTCCCACCTGCCACCTTGCCCCAGGAAACTCCTGTTCCTTCAGAGCAAGGGTCTCAGGCAGTGGTTCAGAGAAAACCCCCAATCAAAGCAGCCCAGGTTCAGTTGTGAGTGACTATTGGCACATGGGTTCAAGGTGTCACACCTCCACAGACCCCGTCTACTTTACCACCTTTTCGAACCTAAAGTCCCTAGTTGGTGCAAATGGTTTGCATTCAATACGAACTGACCTGAAAGTTGGAGGTTAGAACCCCGTCCCCCCACCCCCCAGCAGTGGCACAGAAGCAAGGCCTGGCAACCTGTGCCTGTCAATATGATCATCAAGAAAACCCTATGGCGTGGTTCTGTCTGGTAGCGTGTGAAATCACTGTGCGTCAGAATTGGCCCCATGACCACAGGCTTTGGGTTTCTCTTGTGCACCCACTGGTGGAGTCTGTCTGGGTGGTAGGGAGCTGAGGTCCCCATCTCTTCCCCTTGGAGACTCCTTCACAGGGAGAAGCCTGGGGGCGGGATTGCTTAGGAATGCGGTCAAGGATTTTGATTTTATTTTTACCAATTCTCCTAGCACACTGTCTATGTGAGCACACACAGTTAAGGAAAGTAGTACTCTACCTTGATGGCATAGCACAGGGCATCTGGGATGGAGAAAACTTTTAAGAGAAGAGAGTTTGGAAGAAATTTGGCCTATCCTGCAACAGAAGCCCTGTGCTTACCAATGCTCTTGCATGCTTAAAATCTTGTTCAGTTTTTTTGGGGGGTGGTGGTGGTGGTGGACATCAAAGAATATGACAAAGAGGATGGCCAGCATTTGAGTTTTAAACATCAAGAAGGTGGGGAAGCAAGCTTTACTAATGAGAAACCAGCGTCTTCCCACTGAGACTAAATACATGCAGCACAGATGACAGGAAGGTAGGGCCTGGCCCAGGGGCTCAGTCCAGCCCCGACTGCACGTGTTTGTCTGCCTTGTGAAGAGCCCCAAGTGACTCTCAGACCCTCCACAGGGGCTCATCAGAGCAGTTCTGTTCTGGCTTCATCACCTGATTGACCTACTGGATTTGGGAAGACAGAGGTCAGTTCAGGCCCGGGCACACTCTGGCTTGGGCTGGTTGGTCCATGAGCCTCTGCAACACATAACTTAATCTGTAGCAAAGCATTTCCAAACCTCACATCATTGCCTGTTGAGGGTCTGCTGCAATCTTGCTTGACGCGCTCTCCAGTCTCGGCTGCCTCTGCCTGAGGCTTGCTGGCTCTGGAGAGGGTCAAGATCTAATTGGGAAACCCAGCGATGCGCTTAGAGCTTCTCCACTCAGCCAAGCCTGGCACCCCTGGGTAGCAGTACAACCCTCCAAGTGCAGGGGTCTTGGAGGAGCCCTGGTGGTGTAGTGGTTACGCTGTGCCCCAGCAGCTCTATGGGAGAAAGACTGGACACTCAGCTCCCATAAACAGTTCCAGTCTCAGACACCCACAGGCAGCCACTATGGGGTTAGCATCAACTCGATGGCAGTGAGTGGTTTTGTTTTTTTTTTTGCATTCAGTGCAATCTCTTGGAGCTTTATGCTTCTTGCTGTCGGCCTCTCTTCATTCCAGGTTCCCATGATGTCACCGTCAGGACTAAGTCTTGATACCTTCCAAGCTGGTCCCTTGGGTTCACAAAGCACTGCTAACTCTCAGTCCTCCGGGGCAGTACCTATCAAAGAACCTATAGAGAATCTCATGTCCATGGCACATGGGGATAAGGGGCATCAGAACTGGAGGGGACCAACCCAGCACTGCCAGCCGCCCTGGTCCCACCTTGTTGCTCTGTACTTGAATCGCTATTTTGGCACCCAGCTGTAATCCATGCTGGGCATAGCTGCTGGGATACTCTGACTTATGGGTTAAAATTTTCATGTATTCTCCCTGGAAAGTTTTTCTTCCCCTTCCCTGTAGGGCAGCCTTCTGTTTATCCTTCAAGAGCCAGTTCAAGTGGCCCTCTCCTTGGTAGCTTCCTCTGACTCTCTCAGGCAGAATTAGCCATTCACTCTTTTATGCTCCATGAGGATTTGTGGTTATCTCTAGGATAATTCTTTATCTGCACCCTTGTTTCCCTAGGTCTTGGAAGGAAGGACTTTTATCTCATTCATTTTCTTCCCCCAGCATCCTGGGCACATAAAAAACAAAACAAAGCTCACTGCCAACAAGCCCATTCTGACTCCTAGTGGGACAGAGTTTCCACAAGGTCTTTTCCCCCCCGTGCTGTCGATCATTAGGACAGCAGACTGCCGCCTCTGTCTCCTGCAGAGCAACTGGTGGGTTGGAACCATTCGTTGACTTTGGGGTTAGCTGCTGAATACTTACTTACTGCATCCCACGGCTCCTGGTCAAAAAAAAAAAGGGGGGGGGGCATTTAAATAAGTTGTGTTACAATTACATCATATCATATTGTGTCATTGTTAAACTATATCTGAAAAGTATATTTTGACATGGGAAGATGATTGCAATATGAATCTGATAAAAATAGAATGCTCACATGGTTTGACATCCCAATTTAGTCAATGTGGGTAGCAAAGTAAATGGAGGTGTGTCAGGGTGCCAGCCCCTAACAAATCATCACAGACCCAGCAGGCACACTTGTACAGCAATAATAAGTAAAGACTATCATAAAGCCATAGAGAATAAGAGAGATAGAAGGGACAGTAAATGAGGAGCTGATGCCAGGGGCTTGGGTGGAGAGCAAATGTTTTGAGAATGATGAGGGCAACAGATGTACAGATGTGCTTTACACAATTGATGTACATATGGATTGTGATAAGAGTTGTATGAGCCCCCAATAAAATGATTTCAAAGAAAAGGAGAGTAAAATGAAGGAGTCAGACACATTTCATGGTAGCGTGCTCACCTCAGCTCCTCTTGGTGGTCTGGGCAGGAGAGAGAGATTTATTGCTAACCAAGGCTTATATGTCTTTGGGGGCTTGCATGCCCCCAATTACAGGTAGAGACATATGTCACAGGAAGGGGTTGTACAAGAGGCAATACAGTAATGAGAGGGGGACAATCTAGGAGTATACATTCAATAGGAAGGGGAGGAATAGGGGGTACACATGTGACAAGATGGGTGGATCCTATATTCAGAATAGTGGCCTAACCTTGATTGCCCTTGAGCTGGAGACTTGATTTAGTTTAAGCTTTCAGGGGAAGTAATCCTTTGTCCTTCACTGCAGGGGGTGAGCCCCACCTTTGGTGGGACCAGACAGTACTCTGAAGGCTGAATGCCTTCAGGGAGGATGTCTCTAAGCATCTGACCTCCCACCATGTGCTGGCAAATAGCCTCTAATGTTTGACCTATCTTTGGGGGAGACAAAGCTGGGGAAAAGTCTTTTTATATCTCACAGAGATGTGTTTCAGAGGGTGATTGGGAGGAGTTAATGGGTTAACATTGTCAAGTATTTAGAATAATTTCTGTTCTGTAGCAAATGCTGTAAGTGTTCATAAATAGATCAGTAAATAAACACGTTGGTGAATAGGGCAGAGCATTTCCTCAGCATGCCACAGCTAATCCCACTGCCTGCATGTGAAAACTTTTAATGGCACCCAACACTTAAGACTGACATTAAGCTTAATGCGAAACTACAAGAGAGTGGATTATAAAGTCAACAGAATGGAACTGAATTTGCATCATAAAAGAGCCCATGTGTCAAGAGCTAGAAAAGATACTGCAGAACTCACCATCTCCCTGACTCAGGTTCTGCACTGCCCAATACCGGATCCTATTGTTGCTGCCCTTTCCTACCCACTCCCCCAAAACAAAACAAACCCAAACAAACTTCCCTGTTACTGAGGTGATTCCAACTCACAGCAATCCTATAGGTTAGGGTAAAGCGGCCCCTGTAGGTTTCAGAACTATTTAAAAAAATTTTTTATTGATGGACTTTAAAAAAAATTTTTTTATTGGGGGATCATACAGCTCATCACAATCCACACATCCATCCATTGTGTCAAGTACATTTGTACATTTCTTGCCATCATTATTCTCAAAACGTTTGCTTTCTACTTGAGCCCTTGGTATCAGCTCCTCATTTTTTCCCCTCACTCCCTACCCACCCTCCTTCACGAACCCTTGATAATTAATAAATGATTATATTTTGTCATGTCTTAGCAAAGTTGTATGTTTCATTGTTGCTATACTGCACCCTGACTGGCTCGTCTCCTCCTTTTTTGTAAGGGGATGTTCAGTTACCTACAGATGGGCTTTGGGTCCCCACTCTACACTCCCCCTCATTCATGATATGATTTCTTGTTCTTTGATGCCTGATACCTGATCCCATTGACACCTTATGATCACACAGGCAGGTGTGCTTCTTCCATGTGGGCTTTCTTGCTTCTCAGCCAAATGGTCGCTTGTTTACCTTCAAGCCTTTAAGATCCCAGATGCTATGTCTTTTGATAGCCAGGCACCATCAGTTTTCTTCACCACATTTGCATGTGCATCCACTTTGTCTTCAGCGATCTTGTCGAAGGTGAGCATCATGGAATGCCAGTTTAATAGAACAAAGTGTTGTTGCCTTGAGGGAGTACTTGAGTGGAGGAGGCCCAACAAACATGGTAACTTTTAATGGGAATAAAA